GTGTTATATAATTATTGGTGTGAACATACATTTAACTGAAATTTAGAAAGGTTGTACACTACCGTCCCAGCTCGCCTGTACGCCTGGCTACTAAGTCACGTTTACCAGCGAGGGTCCGAATTCGAGTGGCTACTCTGCGGGTTTGGGGTACTATCTTACGTGAGGACGTCTGGTTGTTTTGGTGAGTATATATAACATAATGTACAAATAATGTTGACGGGAGAGCCTATGGTGCGCTGAGGCTAGTGGTGGCTAGATCTTGACAGATGGTATACCCACTGCTGCTACTGTTGTGCCATGGGCTCATGTCTTGGACGCCACCTCGTGGCAACTACTGGGTGGGAGTTGGGTTACGCCCTTCTACCTGCTAAGAACAAGAACACCAATCCGCAAGAGGCAGTGAACTAACCATGTGTTCGACCCACTGCCTTTCTGGTGTATATTTAATCGAAGGCTTTGGCTGAGAACCCGAGTCGTTCTCCTGTTAGGTATGGACGCCGTGCCGCTATGCTAGTACAAACCCCATCCTCTTCGGAGGTTAAGAAGTGGTCGGTGGCCCTCTTCCCGTAAAACAGTCATGGGAGACAACAGGTGTACAGGTTATAAGCTCACAGCTCGATTGGCGTAGGGCACGAGCGCCACGCATAGTCTCTGATGGTGGGAGGGAACCTCCAGGTGTTCAATGGTTTGTTACTGCCCGCCTCAAGCCAGGCAGCCCCTGGTCAAATTAGTGCAATCCCGCCAAAACGTACCTGCGTCTGGCCGTAGTCGCAGGTGAATATCATCCCACGGTCGCAAAACACATATGAATCGTTCCAGTATCTAAAAGGCTGCGTGTGACGGCCGTCAAGCAGATCCCAATCTGTCTCTGCAGTCGCACTCCCGAGCTGGATCTGCTCCCCACTGCCTTGTGGGTCAGGCTATTGAGCCAAAGGCTCCGGGTGGAGTCCCTCAAGCAAACCAAAACACAATCGCCACCTCGCGTGCGATTGCCCCACCAATGCAATCGTATGCCTGCGCTCAAAACACTCAGCATCGGGTGCTGGAATGTGCGCGCACTACTGGACCGGAACTCGAGTGAGCACCCCGAGTGACTCACTGCACTATTCCCGATGGAATTGGCGTGGCACAACATCGATATTGCGGCGTTCAGCGAGAGCCGGCTCGCTGAGCAAGCTAAGTTGCATGAAGCAGGTGCTGGCTGCACGTTCTACTGGGTGGGCAACATCATATCACCACCACGTGAACATGGGGTCGGATTTGCATTACCCGATTGTCTAAATGGCCGCCTGGTGGATGAACTAACAGGCATCAGCGCGCGACTGATGATTGTTCGCCTACGACTCGGAAGAGGTAAGTTTGCCAGGTAAGTTTGTCCGTACAGCCCGACCATGTGTTATCCTGATGACACACGTGGTCAATTCTACACTCAGCTATCCTCCGTGATACGGTCTGTGTTGAGGAGCGACTGCATACTTCTGCTGGGTGATCTCAACGCGCGCGTTGGGCGTGATGCATCGGCGTGGACAGATGTCATCGGTCCGCATGGCATTGGTTCAGCGAATGCGAACGGTGACAGGCTGCTCTCACTGTGCGCCATTCACGGCCTGATGATCACGAACACCCGGTTTGCACTGAGTGCGAGTGATATAGCAACTTGGACGCACTCACGAAGTGGTCACGCTCACCAGCTCGACTATGACATCGCACGCCAGCGTGATATTCGTGAAGTGCGCATGACACGTGTACTGCGTGGGGCTGAGTGTGGCACTGATCACAAGTTGGTGCTGATCCACCTGTACATATATTTTCGTAAATCTATGTATTGCACTCTTGCCGTGAATCGGCGTAAATTTAACAATCGCTCCCTCGGTACTGTGGCGAAATGTACTGAGCTGGAGAAAGCGATGGCTGCACGCCTGTGTGATGTGGAATGCATAGCCACAGTGGGCGACCTGTGGCACCACATTCGCGACCAGGTGACAGCTGCTGCCGAGGAGACCATCGGGCGCGCAAACTGTAAGCGGCCTGATTGGTTTGATGAGAACAATGCGACGATGGGCGCATTGGTGTCGGAGAAGAATGCAGCATTTGCTGCACATGTCGCAGACCCCAGTGACTTGGGAAGAAGAGTCAGTTTCGCAAACTTCGACGGCGACTGACCCGAGAGCTCCGTCGCATTAAAAATGCATGGTGGACGGAGAAGGCGAAGCAGATGGAATGCTACGCCGAACGCCGCCAACACAAGGAATTCTTTGACTCCTTGAAGGCGGTGTATGGACCGAGGTTGGAGCCGCTGAGGACGCTGATCGATGGTAGTTCAGGCGCTACCTGCACGCAGACTGCAGACATAATGCAGAGCTGTCAGAAAGCTCTTTGACTGTCTCTTGAACAACCGTTCAGAGATCGACTGGCCTACTTTGAACGGCCTGAAGCAGCACGATGTGAAGGCGAGTCTGGCAGACACGCCGACACTGGATGAGACGCAGAGAGCACTTGCTCAGCTGCGAAACGGCAAGTGTGCTGGTGCCGACGGGATCCCGCCTGAAGTATTGAAACACGGCGGACCCGCGTTGGTGACTGCGCTGCACCACTTGGTGCAACGCGTGTGGATTGAGGAGGAGGTGCCTGCTGAGCTGAAGGATGCCCTTGTGCTACCACTGTACAAGGCAAAGGAAGCAAGCAATGTTGCACGAATTATCGTGGCATCAACTTGCTGAGTTGTGTGGGCAAGGTGATTGCCCGAATCCTGCTCACCGCCTCGTCAGTCAGGTTGTGGAACCGAACGTGGCGGAAGAGCACTGTGGATTCCGTTCGGGTCGCAGCACCATCGATATGGTGTTTGCGGCTCGTCAGTTGCAGAAGAAGTGCAGAGAACGACACCAGCCATTGTACTCGCTTTTTGTTGATTTCACCAAGGCATTTGATACGGTGAACCGCGAGGCATTGTGGCTGGTGTTGGGTAAGTTTGGTTGCCCGCGTAAGTTTGTAAGTTTAATTGAATGTCTGCACAGTGGTATGCGGCGAGGGTGCAGCTGAGTGGAGAGACCTCGGATGACTTTGCAGTTGTCTCTGGTGTGAAGCAAGGCTGTGTCTTAGCTCCTGCCCTGTTTAATATCTATCTTCATGCAATGATGTCTTGTGCTTTTGATGCAGCTTGTGCTTACGGTGTTCGTGTGGAGCACCGTATTGATGGTGGGTTGCTGAACATCCGTCGTTTCGGTGCGAGAACCCTAGTCTGTGAGACAACTATCCGTATGTTGCTGTTTGCTGACGACTGTGCGTTGTTTGCACACAGCGCGGATGAGTTGCAGCACATGACTAGTGCTCTGGCTTCGACAGCGGCCAAATTCGGGCTCACCATCAACACAAGCAAAACTGTCTGTCTCTTTCAGCCTTCACCGGAGGTGCAATCTTCAATATTGTCGGAAAGCAGCATTGGTGATGACATACTGAAAACCCCCTCCCTCTTCTACTACCTTGGGTGAGTGATGTCGACTGACCAGTAGCTACACAGTGAGCTTCTTATCCGCATCTCTAAGGCAGTGGCGGCATTCGGGAAGTTAGAGAACCGAGTGTGGAACGAGAATCACCTTACCGTTGGCACGAATCTGATGGTGTACACATCCATGGTGCTGTCCGTTCTTCTATACGGCAGTGGAACGTGGACGATGTACCGACGGGATGTGTGATATCGCGTGCGGTTCCATTAACAATGTCAGCAACGAATTCTGCTCAATATTTAGAGCGACAGAGTTGCGGACACGGAAGTGTTGCGCCGAAGTGGAATATATGCAGTGGACTGCATACTTTTACTGAGAAACCTGAGATGGCTCGGTCATGTGTGGCGTACGGATTTGACGAGGATACCGAAGCAACTATTATCTGGTCAACTGAGTACTGGGAAGCGGCATGCGGGAAACCGAAGGTTCGTTACTACCACATGATCAAACTGAGCCTCTCCGTTCGTAAAGACTCTAAGAGTCGTGGGAGTGTTTTACAAGAGAAGTAGCATTGGGTAATTCAGAAGGATCGGGTTTGGATGGCCTAACACTCGGTGTGAGGCGCCCCACAGGCCGGCCCCCCCCCCCTGGTCGCCACACAGCCCCCCCCCACCAACCCCACCTCCCATCACCCCTCCCCACGCCACCCCCTCCCCCCCCCCCCCCCCATGTCCACCCATCCGCCTGTCTTGTTTTCTGGGGGGGGTAGCTCTGCGCTTTATGCAAATTAGAGCCTCTAGATATACGGTGCGTTAGGTATTTGACGCGGTGGGGGTCAAACCATTGTGTTACACGGAGGGGGCACAGGCACACACAACGAGTTAGTGGGGTCGCCGGGGTGTATTAGGCCCTTGGTAGAGCCCCGAAAGGACCACCGCTAGTTGCCCGCCAACACTCACTCCCTGCTAAGGGCGAACTCTATCATCCTTTTTATCACACGAACCGTTGTCACGTTATTGACCCCCCCCGCAAGGGCGGGAATCAAGTCACCATGCATGCAGAGACGGATGCGGCAAGTGCGGAGTCGGCATGCGCCCGATGGAGTGTTGTACTCTATCGACGACACGAGCAGGCACACACACCATGGTGCCACTCGTGACAGCCACATGCGGTTTGCGACTGACCTGAAGTCAAGGCAGGTTTCTAATAGATTTCACCTGTCGATAACTAGAAGTGGGTGAGGGGGTTGGGCATGAGGGGCTGAGGTCGGAAGGCGGCTTTCATTTTGGTTAAGTTGGGGGGGGGGGGGGGTGGCGGTGGTGTGGGGGGGTAACGGACAACACCACCCAGGGGGGACAGGGGGGGGTGGGGGGTTGGGATTAGACGCGCGGGCGCGGTACTTGCTTGTCACCGGCTTCGGGTTGTTGTGTGGGGCTTGGTAGTTGTCCCGTCCACCCTGTCGGCCAACAAACAGAATCTGAACCCCATATTCCCAACCAAATTTTAGGGCCTAGAGATAAAAAAACCCGTCCGCCGCCCCCCCCTCGCCCCCTCCCATCAGCCCCACCCGGAGCGACCCAGGGCCCCCCCCCCCCCCTCGTCATCTCCGGCGACTCCACACCCACACTCCCCCCCGCCCCCCCCCCCCCCCCCGCCCCCCCCCCCGCTAGTGAGACCCACCCTCCACCCTGCCCAAAGACCCACCCCAAAAAGGCCCCCACAAACCCCCACTACCCTGAACCGAACAAAACACCACCCCACCCAGAACAACGGGACGCCCACCCCTACCGAAGCGAAACGAAACAAGCGTCCCCTGTGGGAGAATCCGGAGGCCACGGAAACCGGGACACGACCTAAGACCATTTTGTTGGGTTTGGGACGCTGCAATGCCGAGACTTTTCATGCTTTCCACTTGTACATGCGTGTGACTTGCATCGCAAGGTCTCTTAGTTGTTGGCGGGGGGTGGGTTTTTTCATGTGTCCACTAATGCCTGTGTGTCGCTTATACATGCGGCCAGACCCGCTTGGTATCATATTAACGGGGCACAAGGGGGGGGTGGGGGCTAGGGGGAGGTCATACTGAGCTGAAGCCGTTGTAAAGGTAGATGGGACGCATAACATGTTTTTTTCTACACCGGTCGACTGGGGGGGGGGATTTTTTCCGTTTGTTTGATGGTGGGTGGTTATTTGGCATGGGTGGCTATTCATTCCGGTAAATATACTTTCTCTAAGAGGAGATCGTGAGTGGGATAAGGCCTGAACGTACGGGAAAGCCAGGAGGGGTGGTCGGGGGGGGGTGTATTGGTGTAAATCCAGTCACGCTACAGCATAGGGCGCCTAAGTGGTAGGGGGTGTGGGTTGGGTGGGTGTGGAGTGGGGGGGGGGGGGGGGGGTGCGGGGGGGGGGATTGCACCGGTGGGGAGGCGAGGGTGAGGCGCCAGGTGGATGCGTGGTGGACGGGGGGCGTAGTCTCCTGGGAGTGGTGGGTCTGTGTTAGCCTACTCTTTATTTGATTTTTTTTGTTATTATAACCTGTATTCTCTAGGGAGTGGCCGTGTTGTGTGCTTCCCAGGTGGGCTGCGCTTGATTGTCATGGATTGTGGGTCAATAGCGAGTGTGCTTCTCGAACGCGGTGTTCTAGTGGATAACAAACACACCTCCCCCGCCCACCCTCTCGATCTCGATCAACTGTTGCTAGGAGACAGTTGGTCGCGGCTGGAAGGAAACGGGGTGCACGGTCCTTTGGCATGTGTTTGGACTCGCGAAGAGTGTGGTCCAATGACATTCATGCGGTGGTCCGGGTGAGAGCCGGAGTCTTCTTACGATACCACTAAACTACCTCCCGCCGGGCTTGGTGTGCTTTGGAGTGGGGATTCCTCTTAAGCGAGCGTGTGGTGATTTTTACATGTGAGGGGAGGAGCGGGAGTGAGGGGTCCGGCTCGGGCATTGATGTTTAGGTACTGTGGGCTCCCATGCCACTCGTATTCCTCCCGGTTAATATAACCGTCGGGTGTTTACACTGAATTATGGGGCTGTGTTTGGTAGCTTGCGTGGTGCAGAGCGCTAGTCACACCATCGCTCTTTTTTTTCATTTAAACGGGCGCAGGCCTTCCGTGGTGGCGGTCTGGGATTAATGTTGGGTGTCTCTCTTACGGGACAGATCCTAATTGACAGGGCCCAAACATACGGGACGGCCGAAACAATAAATAAATAAGCACGGGCCAAACCAGCACGCCAATAACTACGACACTACAGGTGGTGGCGCCCCTAATTACGTGAATCAAGGTCATTCCATTTGGTTTGGCACATGACAGTGTTCGTTTTTATCTATAAACTATCAGCTTACTCACACTTTGTGTCATGACAGTAGGTATAGACGCTTGGGAAAAATATTCTTCATCTTGCTGAGTATGCCTAATATGGTCTGCTTCATCCACTTTAATCTTCATAACTCCCATTCCCCATGGAGGGGAGTTTGCAACAGACCCTGTACATGTTTGGTCACAACCTTCATGGCAATGAAGTCTTATCCGATAATAGACAGCACATCGGAATGATGGACATAGACCTCAGGGGTTGTGGCACTTGACCTGACGTTCCGCGTCGAAGCATTGTGGATCTTGGCTTGGGTTACCCCACAACGAATAAAGCACCGTGGCTTGATGGCCGCAGCCCACTGTCTCTTCCTCCCCTTGTGACCGCTCAGGACAACCCCGACTATGGACCAAAATCCCGCCCATCCTTACTTGTACCATGACCTAGTGTTCTCAAGGACAACCTTTGCAGTAGGTGCCGACGTCGTTTTTCCGTGTCTTTAACATAGAAACAGCTTTGTGTTTTGTAATCGGTGATCCTGTTGCCATAATGCCTAGAAGTAAATCGGGTTTTCCAACATGTTCTTAATATTAGATCTTTTTTATCCTGTGTCATTCAAATGCTATAGAGGCTCCGGTGGATTTCCCATGAGGTTATATTTCTGTGACGCCTTTTCGGACCCGAACCTTGTATGGCGACGCCTCGGTACGATCTATTTCTCCTTTCATAGTGCCAAATTACTTTCTGATTCATGTTTCACCGCGCATGGCCCTGAAACGATCCATTTTGCGGCTTGGATTAGAATAGAGTTGACTAAACCACCTAAGCTGAATTGTATTATGGAGAGGTTCACTAATATCTAAGAGAGACATCGGCGATTTCTGCAGTCACCAAACGTCGATCATGTTCTGGTCGGTATCGCTCTCATACTAGAATCTGTAATAATAT